TATATTAATGATTATCAATTACAAAAATATATATTCCAACTAATTCAGAGGAAGATTACTTTTTAATTGTTTATTTATTAATAATCAAATACTTGGCTTCCATGCTCAAAAATATGCCACTTCCATAATTACTCGTACTATTGTTAGTTATCAATACAAAATATTATTTAGAATTTAATGAACATGAAGCTTTTATTAATTAAATTAAAGGACAAATAAAGAAAATTTTCGAGAAAAATACATCGCAATAATTAAATTCTGTATATACTTTAAACTTTATGAAGAAATCTAAATAATTTTTATCAGGAAGTCGTGATAAATCAATAATAATCTGGGAATATTAAAAAAGTTAATGGAGTTATTAATAAATATTAAATAGACATAATAATTCGATCTAATTATATCAGGGAGTGAAGATAGAACGATTAAATTTTGGATAAAAAAGAATGAATGGTTGTGTTAATTAACAATAGATGATTGTTCTAATCGTGTATTAGGATTAAGTTTGAATTAATAAAAAAATAGGGTTGTTTCATGTGGAAATGATTAACCTATATTAATAATAGAAAATTAGGTTAGACTACAGAGTGGAAAGTAATATAAAAGATTTAAACTGAATAGTATGGATATCTAGTATGTTTTATAGATAATAATATGTTCAAATTCTCATAAAGAGTTAAAGAATAGATATCTGTTTTTGGAATGAACCCTAACAATGAATAGTTTACCAAAACGAGAGATATTACTATAAAATGTGTATAAGATAACTTTTCAAGATTTTCTTATCAATATATAAATTCAAAATGTATTCTTGTGAGTAAGAATGGAGAATATGTAAATTTGGTGAGGAAACAATAAAATGGAGGGTTTCAAACTGAATAATCCATTCATTTTGGAATTAATTCTTTATCTATTTTGATATTAAGTTTGTTATAAAATAAAAATCCCATTTATTATAAAATATTTTAATAATTAATCTTCAAATGATTTAATAATCAATAGATAAAGAACTAAAGTGTTTAGAACATAACAAATAAGCTAAGGTTCACGCTTACAAAATAAATGCTGAAAAAATATGTTCAAGAGCAGACAGGCATTTGAAAACGTTAAACAAACAGTTTGAAAAGAGAAATACACTCTTTTAATAATAGTCTTGATAAGAAATTATTAAACATAGAACAATAAATTTAGTTTATTTCAACTGCTATAGGCAAGGAAAATAAGTCAATAATTGGACTAAAGGGGTCTCAACTAAATTAATTCTAATCTTAAAATAATAGTGTTTAACTCTAATAAATTTTATGGAGAATAAATTACGAGATTCAGGATAGATTAATAATTTATTTAATTTGAAGAAAACCTCAAGAAAATTTAATATAGTCAAAAGGATTCTCTATAAGAAGTAATTCAAACTTTTTCATCAGAAATATATTATTCAAGTAGACTGTTAAATTAAAATTGGCGATAGGAAAATCACAAACTTTAGGTGGCTTTAATTGATTTAAATGAACAGGCAGTGGTTCCAAACAGATTAGCTTGTATTGATTTTGTTGCTAAGTATCCAATTAAAGATACAAAATTTTAACAATTAAAATAATTTTAGTTAGATTATGTAGATAAGACATTAAAATACGAAGAATAATAATAAATTAATCTTCATGAAAAGGCTTCAAAGGCAATGTAAAATTTTTTAGTTTATTAAAAAGTCATGCTAATCTAGTATAATAATTATTTTCAACAATGTTATTAAGGAATGCTCTTAGATATCGAGCAAAATAAAAATTGATTAATTTGAAAACAAAAAATTGGTATTAATTAGAATAATTAGAAATTATTGAAATTTCTAATCTCATCAGTAAAACAAAAAAATAGGATATTTTAAATGGTTCTATCAGAAATGAATTTAAGGATTATAAATTGAATTAAAAAAACTTCTTAGATTCTTTCAAGACTTTTCAAGAAAACCTTATTGCAGCATTTTAATAAATATATGAAGAAATATAAATTTATTTAAATACTGTAGAAACAGATTAATATCCTAATAATTCACCTGATACAGAGTCAGAAAACTTATAATAATAATAAAATTAGAAAGCTATGAAATAAACTTTTAAATATGAAATAATTAATTCTGTTAAAGATTATAGAATAGAGAATAGATGCATTCGTTTTTAATTGAGAATCATTCTCTTCTTGCAGCTGGTTATTTTGATTCAAATAAAATTAAATATTTGAATTCAATTAAGAATAAATGATAAAAATTTAAGAATTAAAAAATCAAAAGGATTTAAAATTACTCAAATAATCATATATAATTAATGTCAGGCAGTTATGATAATACAATTATTATATGGGAAATGAATAGCAACAATAAATGAAATTTTAAATTTAGTCTAGATGGTCATGGAGGAGGAATATACTATCTAGGTTTAACTAATAATGAGATTAGATTATATCTGGTAGTGTTGATAAATCAATAAAGGTTTGGGATAAAGATTAGGAATGGAAATGCAATGAAACATTATATGTACAGATTAATGAAATAACTAGTAATAGTCTAAGTTAATCTAATTAATATTTTGTTTCATGTTCAAGAAAAGATGATTAAAATATCATTTTTAACTTGGACAAAAACATGGATTTAATTTTAAACAATAAAAGTTGATATAAAGTTTGATTTATAGAGAACTTAATTTTTTTATTTGACCATTCAACAATGCAAAAATGTACATCTTTTCAATAAATAATTCAAATGATTAATTTATTAAGTAAAGAGAAGTAGAAGTAAAAGCAGGAGATAATTATTATCGCTTCTTTCCCTTACAATTTATAGATTCAAATTTAATGATAGTTAACAGAAACGGAAGTACAGTTAATTTGATAAGAATATAAGAAAATTTATCATATAGCACATAATTTTTATTGATTATGAAGCGGAAACAATTTTTGGTACCATGAGTGATGATGGATAATATTTGATTACATGGGATAAGTAATCTTAAGAAATTTAGATAAGTAAATACAGAGAATGAAGTTATTAGATACAATAATTAAAAATTATATTTAATTTTTGTTTAATCCCTTTTTATAAGGGAATAAATTGTATTGAAATAAGTTTATCTAAAAATAAATACAATTCTCTTTGGATTCTATTTCTTAAAATAGCACCATTAAATTCCCTTAAATTAATTAAAAAATTATTCAATATCAAGAATATTGATACATTTTATCTTTAACTTTGATAACCTATTGATACTACAATATTTTTCAATTATAAATAATGATTAAGTATTTTAAATCATGAAAGAAATCAAAATTTGAGTATATAAACAAATATAAGAAAAAAAAAATTCTGGGTATTTGCTGAAAGTGTGTCAAAAAATTTATTTTTTCTTGACTACAATGATAAAATGTATTTTAATAGTATTGATTACTAATTTGTAATTTTGATTTTAGAACCTCTATACTTAATCCTCTCTATTGAAACATCAGATTGACAGACTTTATATTTAAAGTTATTTGATTAACTACATTATTAATATATTCAACTATGTATAAGAAAAGATTTTTCCCAATATATAACTTATCAAGGTCTAAATGAATCTTAACTCTTTAAATAGGTTTCAAAATTAAATAACCAGAATATCATTCATGTAAGATTAAGCTTGAGATCTTATGGATTTTGTGAAGTCTTGCGATGGATTTTAATGAAGAATAAAATATATTCCAAGAGCTTTCAAGTGATTTAATACATCAAAACTACTTTAGAGAAATTCTAAATCTTGATAAATAAAATAAAATTATCATATCAAAACCAGTAGAAATTTTCATATAGAAATAATTTATTGTAATGTTTCATTGATTCTCATTTATCATCACCTCCATCCATTTACTAAATTTTTACTATTTTTACTCACCTTGATAAATTACTTAAAAATTTCTCTTATCGCTCAATTCTACCCACCTTCCAATTATAATTGAATTACTTTCATTATATAATCCACATCCACTATAAACTTAATTTTTTTATTTTTACATCTATTCAAATAGTTGTTTTTCATCCTACTTATCAAGTAGATCCAATCTACCTACTTTTTTCCATTGATATATTTTCCATCAAAAATAATTTGTGAATAATACCTAAATTATTAATTTAATTCGATCCACCTCCAGATTTAAATTGAGTCTTCTCCTATTTAATCATGATATGATCCTCCACCACTATATATTGTTTATTTCATACATCAATTCTTTGCGAAAATTGCCATAATTTTTCCAAATTTGTTATCTTTTATGTCAACTTCATTATTATAGAATTACAAACTGAATTTGTATAATTTTGAAATTTGATTTCTTAAATTATTAGATCCAATTTTATCAATTCAAACTTCATAAAATCCTTATTCTTAAATGATTTATCAATATGAATACTAATTTTCACTTTTCACTTCTTCCTATTGTATTGAATTTATATTGAATTCTTTGAATATGGCCTTGATTTAAAGAAATTAATTGTTATTGAGAGAACAAAAAGCAATATTTTATCATAAATTTCATCTAATTAATGACAATTAATATTATACTAAAATAAACTAAAATATTTATTTTAACTGAACTTTTATGGATTTGAAATTTTTTAAATGTATATGAACGTTACTTTGATTTGATTATAGATTAAATAATTCCTATTAATGAAGTGAGAAGAATATATTTCAATTTTTGCACCTTATTATAAATAATTTCTTATCTGAAACTTTGAATTATTTAAAATAATAAGAAAAGATGTTAGAACAAAAATCTTTTATAAAAAAGTAGACTTAGATTTCAAGAACATCTCAAAATTTATTTAATTCAATAAAATTTTGATTGCGTAACTTTTCAGGTTATCTTTAATATATAGAAAAATAATAGTGTCAAAAAATATTGTAATAATATTATTAAAATAGTTACTGAGATAATCACCTCCTTAATTATTAAACAACCTTATGAGCCATCAACCGAATTATATTACATTAAGATTCTTTCAATTAATATTATAAAGGATCAATGTATGAGAAAATGGTTCTTTAGGCAAAGTTAACCAAGTTAACATAAGATTGCCCATACAACATTAAAAATTTAAGGATTAAAAGAAATTGATTCGTATAAGGAGCTGATTATACAACTATACCTTATTTTTTTCCATAAAAATTAAATTTTTTATAATAATCTCTTTCCCATATCTTGATTACGTGAATTTTTAGAGTTGGATCTGATTGATAGATAAAGATAAATTTTCTCTAGATCATAAAATTTTCCTATTTAGTATTATGACCTTTAGAAATAAAAATCTCATTTTAGGGGCATAATTTTCATAAACAATGGTAAAAATGAAATTTGACATCAATGGACATTCCTTGGAGAAAACTTAAGATTATTAAAAAATTTTAATATAGATATCATATCTTAGAATAGTATGGATACATTAAATGAATATGAAAATAAATTTGATAAATTCCAAAATTT